CAGCGACTGAGGAAAATCTGCTAAGTTGTTCGGGTTCGATACCGCCCTCCCCCTGCCATCGCATTGACAAAGAATTCGTGTCTTTCTTCATTGAAAAACTTCTATTAGCAAAATCCATTATCACCTGGAACTCATCCTAAAAATTTGATCCCGATATTGCTTCTGTCGTCATGAAGTCCAGCTCAAATAGGTCACGCCCTAATCCGAATTCAAGCCAAGCTTGCTCTTGACCTTGATTGCCATGCCGATGACAACACACAATTTGCTAAGAATAAACAGGAACTTTAAGCCTCTCTCTCTCTCAGACATCACGCCTACTTCTGTTCTGCTGTCAATCAGAAAACTTTTTCTCTACTTCCTATCTTTATCTTTACGTGAGGACAACCTTGAAGATTTCCCTCATTAATGTAATATACAGTGACGTTATCTGCGTCTCCTCCAAACTCCAAATTAAAATGTTCACTTGCGCGATTCACGTCAGGCACTCCCAATTTTTCATCTCTTAGCCTCAGAACGTGGGTGCCTACCCTCATAACTGGATAATGTTTGGCCCTCTACATCATCCTGCGGTCGTTTCCGAATGATTTCGGCCGTTGTTTTGATCATTGTCCGGCCTCCGCCCTCCGCCGGGGTCGAAAGTGTGGTCAGAGTCTGTCGAGACCTCGTACACTGCGGTCAACCACTGCCTAGAATACAAATCACTAATCGCCTGTACCGCGACTTGTAACTTCAATGATTCTGGGGCGGACATCAAACGATAGTAATCATCCAGCTCCTGCAAGAGTTGCACCACGTTCTGTTTATGGCAATCGAAAAATTTTGCTAACACAATGTCGTTCAAAACGTGGCTGGGGCATTGGGGATGGGTTAGCTCGGCAAGTTCACGCGGTCTGTGCGCCTCACCGTCAGCGTTGCCAATAGTGACTGACACAACTGGCATCATGGTCGCTACCGCTATTAACCTCTCACTCTCTGGCCGGGTTTCATCATTCGCTACAGGGGTAGAAGACGATCTCTGAACCGAGCTACTGCTCGAATCACCATGTCCTAGTATTACTTTCTGCCTCTGACATGTGTGATGTTAACCTCTCACTCACATTCCCATTCACGCTCTCTGTTACATCAACTAATTTCTCATTCATTCTCTCAATTTCTTGCCGCTGGGCAGCCACAGACTCCTTAAACTTACTGGTTTCATCTCTCATTTTTGTAAAAACCTGCTCGCTATTTGGGACCTGAACTGTTTCGACAACTGCTCTGGAATTTGTGCAATGTCATTTTGCAATTTATCTCGTCTTTCTCTATTTTCCTTCCTTTCCTGCTTTCTTCTCTTTCGAGTTCTTCCCTTTCCTCCTTCTCCCGTTTCCTAATTTCCTCAGTTTTTCTTTCGTTTTCTAATCTCATTCTATCACTTTCCTCTTTGTGTCTTTTCCTTTCTGCCCTGTTTCTTGGATGGCCTGCCAAATAAGGGATAACAAGTGGCTACCTAAGTGGTCTCCAATAGGTTTAGCACTGACTGTACTAGCAATTACAGTCACTTCTGAGGGGGACTTGCATTACTTTAGCGCGCCTATATTCTCAATAGAAAGCGTCGTCTCGTCCTCTTCGAAATTCCTGTCAAGCAAGGGTTGGGCGCACTGTAAAGGTACAATTTGGC